GACTGGTCGATACAATGAGTGATCTGTGTAACGGAGAATGAAAATCATATCTATATTTGGACGGTTTCTCCTGTTCCTTTTTATTAACTGGCAAAATCAAGAGAGTAATGTTATTGAATTAACAACACAACTAAAAAAAATATACCCACCGGATTATATTATCAAAGATCGTGAATTGCGTGCATGGAAAGCCTTATTGCGACATACAGGATGTACTAATATAACACCCTTTGGAAAGGATTCTATGGTAACTCTTTAAAATAATAAATAGACTGGTATCATTGGGTATAAGTAAAAATTTCATTTCCACTTAAACACATAGAGCCCAGTGCATAACTGATTTATACACTGTGATCATGATATTAGTGTTCCAAATCAAATCAAAAAAATAAAATCGATTAGTTGGCCAAAATTTTTTGAAAAAAACAATTAAAAAAATCGATTGTCAACTAATCGATCTATTAGTCAATTAATCGATTAATTGACTAATCGATTTGTTGATATATCAAAATAGCTTGAATATGATTTTGGAATTTTAGCTAGTCTCTGATTATAGTGTTTGATATTAAAAACAACAAATTGATTAATTAATTAATCGATTAGTCTATTAATTGATTAGTTGACAACTTGATCAACTAAACAATTAATTGATTTTCGATTTGGAATACTACTTGATATAGTGACCAGCGTATAATAATAAAGATATACCTATTTCTCCTATATATATATTCTCTTGTAAGCTATACTCTGAGAGAACAATCTTGATTTATATCCAGGTGCTCGTATATAATAACATCATATTCGCATAGAGTGCCTTTCTGAATATATGTCAGAGAATCATAACCAAGCACCCCCAAAAGCCATTTTCCCAAAAGAACATAATTCCAATAACATCGTAATTATGTTCTTTTAGGAAAATAACTTTTAGAAAATCGCATTAAACCTGGAGAACATAGTATAAATATATATGTATAATTCTAACTCACGGTATATATAGTTTGAATTTTGGACTTGTTCAAAAGATTCAACAAAAGACCAAGCTATGATAAAGCAGTTATATAAATGTGGATGTCTTCAAGCTATTCCGGAAAGTTACGAAAATATCGAGGATCAATTTTGGAATGCATTTCAGGATGCCTTAGATAGTAATATTCGTGGAATTGATGGAAAAAGAAGAATACTATCTATTATTGCTGATAAACTTCCATATGATATAATTAAAGAAAAATTATCTGTTAGTATTTGGTAAATAATATTAATATAATAAAATATTTTGAACAAAATTTAAATAATTAAATATTTAACTTAGGTTTCAAATTATCTAATTACTGAAGCACGTCATTATGCACGCATTAATAGACCAGGGGGCATCCAATTGGAAAAGCCTAAGATAACTCGAGAAAAATTGGCACCTGAAAAAAAAGAACAGATTGAGTTTTTTTTTTCAAAATAAAGCAAATGTAGTGATGAGTTCTTATAAGACAGATAGTATTACCGGATTACCTGTACACTATTTAAAAGATAATAAGGAAGCATTATAGGAACGATTTTGTGAAGAGTATCCAGATGGCGCTAAAAGAACAACGTTCTATAAATATTTGGAAGGTGGCCAATATTTATATAAAGAAGACTTAGGTGGTCTCTGCTCAATCTGTAATATGTATGGATATGAAACATTTGATGAACTTCGAAGGCTAATTCAACATCATGCTGACTTGGATTATCAGGTAAGTTTATATATTATTAAAATTACACACTTCAAAATTATAAGACTTAAGATCGGGAAATTTTGCAATCCGATTGGAATCGATTAAAATCTAAGGTATCAAGCGATCCTTATTACCACCATCAATTATAATCAGTTATTTAATTGATTTTAATCGATTTTTATATATGTTTATAATCAATTATCAATTTGATTTATTGCGGTTTGCAAAATTTTGTAAATTTTGTAAATAAAAAAAAAAAAAAGATCGCTCGATTTTTAGACGATTTCTAGATGATTTCTGATTTCTTAAGTAACTCCGATATCTTGGTATGTATTGTTTAAGAAATCAGAAATCATCTAGAAATCGCCTAAAAAATCGCGCGATTTTTTTTTTTTTAACCTGCAAAATTACAAAATTTTGTAAACCTCAATAAATCAATTACCAGCACCATCGGTGATAATAATCAGTTGAAACCAATCAATCATAATCAATTAACTGCTTGTAACCGATTATAATCGGGTCTCAAAATTTCCTAATGAACATGTCGAATGCTATTTGATACACCGTTCGATACATAATTGTCTATCAAGTGATTTTGCGGCCATGTCATATCCGAGCATCATATAAAGTCTCAGACAGCATTCAAAATATGTCAACTTGGAATTTCATTGTTAAACTAACTGATAAA